GGCCTCAGGAGGTGGTGAGTGGTGGGGGCTTGGCTTTAGGGAAAGCTTTGCTGCTCAAGCAGCATTGAGGAGAGCCACACCTCTGTCCCTGGCATCCCAGGCCACTGGAGCAGAAGTTTGGGTTTCTAGCAGCTGCAGGGTACTACAGCAGAACAGCCTTTCCTGGGGCATTCCATGCTGAGAACTTAGGCCCGTGGCCTAAAGTGAAGTGCTCCTGTCTTTTTGTCTGGATCATGTGTATTTTCTATGTATGTGAGAAGTGTGGCTTCCTGCTTAGGAACCCTTTTCCACTGGGCACTGGGTGGAAATGTGTGTTCTGGTCAGCTGGCCGTGGCTGCCTGGTGAGCTGGGAAGGTGGGGACACCCTGGAGAGCAGAGACGGGCAGCTGCAGCCTTCAGGGAGGAGGCACCAGTGCCTGTGTCTTTCTCTAGGGCTGAGGTCTGGGCCTTCCCCCATTTCTGGCCTGGAGGCCCCCTGACTCACTGTAAGTCAGAGATCCGAGGTCCACAGCTCCCTAGAACCAGTGCGTCGAACCACTCTCTTCTGGTGATGGATCAGGGGCTTGGGAACGGTTTTACTGCCCAGGTGGTTACAACCCCAAATGAGACAGGACCCATGACAGGAAGGATGTGGGTTTTGGAATCTGAAGGTTTGCGTGCAAATCCCAGCTCAGCCATTTCTCAGCTTTGTGGGCTGGTGAGCAAGGTCCCCCGACTCTTGATGAGGTGGAAGCGGCAGTACCTGTTGGATCAAATACACAGGGTTATCGTGGCGCTCTCCTCACGGGTTGCCACAGTGTGGTGTTTCTGTGTCACATGTGGGACGCGTTCCTGCTCCATCCAAACGATCCTGGAGGAGAGTGAGGGGAGGACTGCTGTGACTGTTGTGGATGTGGAACCTGAGGCAGGGGAAGGTGGTGGGCAGGCCTGGAGCCACAAAGCACAGTCTGAGCCAGACCTGGCGGATGATTGTCACTTTGGTCCTCACTGCTGTTCAGCGGGACCCCTTTCATTTGTGGCTTTCTGTGGACCAGAGGAGCAGTTGCTGCTGCCGGGAGCCATAGGGCCTCCTCTGTGGAGGCCTGAGGAGAGGCATTGCCTATGGTAGCCTCATCAGCCTGCCTCTTGGGGCAGGAATGGGCATCGCTGTGCCCCAGAAGAGCACTTCCCTGAGGTCAGCTGATCTGTGTACCCACCAGCCGTGGAAAAGCCCCTCCCACTCCTGGGCCTGGGGAGGTTAGAAGTTGGGTTGATGCCCAGAGTAGCACCTTGTCTCCTGAGCCAGGCAGTCCCAATGTCTCTGGAGAATGGGGAAGGTAGGAACAGAGCCTGGCTCGAGGCCTTGGGCCTTGTAAAGCCAGCCCTGGGCAGTTCTCAAGATCGTTTCCTTGTGATGTGGTAGAGAGCCATTGGGAGGGGAGCAGCAGGTCTCTGGGTCCTGTACTCAGTAGTGAGAGCTATTCAACTTTGGCTGGTTCCCCACTATGGGTTCCGGGGAAGCTTTGTTTAACCACAGGGTTCCTGGCTGAAAAGACATGAAAGTTCAGGGTCCACAAGGCTTGGGATGGATACTGTGATTAGGAGGGGCAACTTGCCCTTGAGCCCAGCAGTCCAAATGCAGGGCAGAGTTTGGGCTCCAGGATCTGGTCAGTTCCATCCCTCCAGTCATTCCCTCTGTCTCCCTTGCCAACCACTGTCCTTGTCGTTCATCTGCTCTCACCCCCATACCTCTGCTTACAGCCTGCCCACACCCCCCTGCCCTTGCCCTAACCTCCCCTTCCCACCGCACACATTTATACACACACAATGAAAATGTTTGAGCCCTACCTTCCTTTCTCAGCTACTCAGATCCTCAACCACTCTTCCTCTCTGGAGAGACCTTCCCTCCCAGGGGAGAACTTCCACCATGCCACTTGGGAAGGAAGGGGTGTGTTTAAGCATGTTCACATGGGCATGCTGCTCAGACCCCAGGGAGGCAGCAAAGGCTGGGAAAGCTATTTGAAGGGGCTGCTTTGGGGAGTAGACCTGTCAGGCTTGCCTACCCTGTGCAGGTCCTGGCTTGCCATGGCCCTGTGGGCTCTACTCCTGTTCCTTAGCCAAGCAGGCAGGCAGGACCCTCTGCAGCTCACACCCTCTGGTCCCATCTGTGCTCATGCCTTTACCTTCCTAGAATGACTTTTTTCACTCTTTTCCCTGTATAAAACTGTGGTATACTTCAGAGGTCTCACTTTTGCTCTCGCTAGTTCTATTCAGCATTGTATTGGAGGCCGTAGTCAGTGCAGTAAGGCAGGGAAAAGAAATAGAAGACAAGCAGAATAGATAGGAAGAATGCAACAGTCTGTATTCTCAGACAATAAATTTAAAAATCCCAAAGAATCTTCATAAAAGCTACCAGAACTAATTGTTGAATTTAACAAGGTTGCAGGACACCAGGTGAATATATAAAAAGTCAAATATATGTGTGTATGTTTAATAGTTTTATCGAGATAAGATTTACATGCCATAAAAACCACTCATCTAAAGTATACAAATCAGGGGCTCCTGGGTGGCTCAGTCAGTTGGGGGTCTGCCTTTGGCTCAGGTCATGATCCCAGGATCCTGGGATCGAGCCCCGCATCAGGCTCCTTGCTCAGCGGGGAGCCTGCTTCTCCCTCTCCCTCTGACTGCTGCTCCCCCTACTTGTGCTCTCTCTCTCTCTGTCAGATTAAAAAAAAAAATCTTTAAAAAAAAGTATACAAATCAGTGGTTTTTAGCATGTTCACAGTTGTGCAGCCATCATTTTAATCTAATTTTAGAACATTTTGTCACTCCAAAAGAAACCTTTGGGAGTTTCTATACCCCCACCCCAAAATCAATTATATTTTGATATAATAGCAAGAAACAATTGGAATTAAAATTTTAAGATAACACTTAGAACAGCATGAAAAGTAAAGTAGAGGGATGCCTGGGTGGCTCAGTCGTTAAGCGCCTGCCTTCGGCTCGGGTTGTGATCCCAGGGTCCTGGGATCGAGCCCCGCATCGGGCTCCCTGCTCAGCGGGAAGCCTGCTTCTCCCTTTCCCACTCCCCCTGCTTGTGTTCCTTCTCTCGCTATGTCTCTTTCTGTCAAATAAATAAAATCTTAAAAAAAAAAAAAGTAAAGTAGAGTTAATTTGTCAGAACATTTTTGGGAGAAATTAAGACCTAAATAAAAGGAGAGATATACCGTGTTCAGAGATTGAAATAGTATTATTAAGCTATCTGTTCTCTCCAAATTGATCTGTAGATTCAACCCAATCCCAATCAAAATCCCAGCAGGCCTTTGAAAAATACTTAAGAAAATGAAAAGACATACCACAACCTGGGAGAAAATATTTGTAAAACACATAAAAGAATTTGTATTCAAACTATATCTAGAATCCTTACAGCTTAATAAGATACACAACCCAATTTTAAAGACTGGTTAAAGGTGCGCCTGGGTGGCTCAGTCCGTTAAACTTCGGCTCAGGTTGTGACCCCAGCCCCACAGCTGGCTCCCTGCTCAGCAGGGAGTCTGCTTCTTCTTCTCCTTCGGCCCCTCCCCCACTCTCCCTCCCCTTCCTCTTTTTATAAATAAATAAAATCTTTTTAAAAACCTGGTTAAAGATCTGGAATGTTCAATAATTTTTTAATAAATTGATGGTTCAGTATATGAAAAGAGGCTCAAAAGATCCTTGGTCATTGGGGAAATGCAAATTAAAGCCGCAGTGACATTAACACTACTAATACCTACTAAAATGGCTAAAAGCAAAAGAAAAAAACCCTAAACATCTGACCATACCAAGTGTTGGTGAGAAACTGGACCTTATACATTGCTGTGAGAATGCAAATAGTACAGCCACTTTGGAAAATAGTTTGGCAGTTTGTTATCAGGTTAAACATATCTTGTGAGTCAGAAATACCACCTCTTAAGTATTTATCCAAGAGAAATGAAGACATATGTCCTCGCAAAGGCCTGTATGCAAATATTTATTAGTTTTATTCATAATAGCCAAAAATTGAAACAACTCAAATGTCTGAACTAGTGAATGGATAAACTGTGGCATATCCATATAATGGAGCATTATGTCAGCAATAAAAAGAAACAAAATACTGGTACACCTAAACAATGTGGATGAATCTCAGATGTGTTGTGCTAAGTGAAAGAAGTCAGACACAAGACCCTCTGTATTCTGTGATTTCATTTATACGACATCCTGGAAAAGGTGAAACCTTAGGAACAAATCAGATCAGTGTTGCCAGGGACTGGGGGTGGGTGGAGTGGGGCTGATCACGAAGAGGCATGAGGGAACTTTTTGGAACAATGGAAATTTCTGTATCTTGATCGTTGTCGTAACATTTGTTAAAACTTGTTGAACTGTCGGGTGCCTGGGTGGCTCAGTTGATTAAGCAACTGCCTTCGACTCAGATCATGATCCTGGAGTCCTGGGATCGAGTCCCGCATCGGGCTCCCTGCTCGGCAGGGAGTCTGCTTCTCCCTCTGACCCTCCCCCCTCTCATGTGCTCTTTCTCTCTCATTCTCTCTCTCAAATAAATAAAAAAATCTTTAAAAACATAAATAAAACTTGTTGAACTGTCAATTAAAAAGGGAGAATCTTTTTACATGTAAATTATACTTCAGTTAAAAAACGTGTTTAAAAACCCCTCAGAGGTCAGTTTAAGCCCCCTCTCCTTCATGACGCTTTCCCTGACCGCTTCCTTGTTGCATGCATGGCCTTCTGGTAAGTCCCTTCCAGGTCACTCATGGTTTTGGTTCTTGTTAACCACAGCTTGGGCCCCTTGATTGCTTCAGCTACTCAGGTGTCGTGAGCTGCTGGACTCACTGTTCCTTTGGCATAGCCAGACCCTGTCCACAGCTTGCTCTGAGAGGCCAGGAGTACTGACTGAGGTGGTATCAGGCTGGGGAGAGGGGCCCAGACCCAGGCGGTGTCTCTGGCTGTCTCAGGTACCTCCACTTACCTGTTGCTATTCTCTTCCTCCACAGGTTGGGATAAACATTCCTATGGTTACCACGGCGATGATGGGCACTCATTCTGCTCCTCCGGGACTGGCCAGCCCTATGGTCCCACATTCACCACAGGAGACGTGATTGGCTGCTGTGTCAACCTCATCAACAGCACCTGCTTCTACACCAAGAATGGCCACAGCCTTGGTGGGTGCCTAGGGGACCTTAGAGGGTCTGCCCTGTGGAGCCACTTTGATTGGTAAGAGGCCCACAGGCGGGCTTGAAAGCCAAAGCAGTGTCACTGATCCTCTGCCGAGCTCTGGGGAACTGCAGCCATTTCCAGGCATTGGAGCCCTGCAAAGTGAAGGGAAGGTAGCAGAGGTGCTTCCTTTGTTAATCCATCCATTTAGCAGCATTTATCAAGGTCAGTGCTGAGAAAAGAGCAAGGTCATGGTCATGCCCCTCGCCTGTGTGACACTTGTTGGAGCAGGATTTGGTATTGGTGAGAACTACCTACCTGCCAGTGGTAGTGGTTTGCATGTGTGTGGCCTGCGCCCTGACTTTGGCTGGCCCTTCCAACATGCAAGATGCTAGTTGCTGTGGAGCAACAGGAGGTCTGCTCTAGAATAGGGGGTAAATAGACAGGCTGGAGTCAGATGGGGCCAGGTCTTTTCTGGCCTTTTTGCTGGTTAACAGCAGCCTGGACAGAGTTCTACTTAAAAAGGTCCTTTGAGGGGCGCCTGGGTGCCTCGGTCAGTTAAGCGTCTGCCTTCGGCTCAGGTCATGATCCCGGGATCCTGGGATCGAGCCCCGAGTCAGGCTACCTGGTCCGGAGAGCCTGCTTCTCCTTCTGCCTCTGCCTGCCACTCTGCCTATCTGTGCTCTCTATCTCTCTGTCAAATAAATAAATAAAATCTTAAAAAAAAAAAAAAAGGTCCTTTGATGCAACTGCAAAGGAGGGACTGACTGGAGTGAGGGCCTGGGGAAGAGGCAGATAGCCCGAGGCAAGACTGTGGTGATTGGTACAGGGCATGGGGAATAAGCCTGACAGAGGCCAGGGTGGCCCAGCAGGGTTTAGTGACAGATGGGGTGCACTAGCAAGAAGGGAGGATGGGAAAATGGCTGGATAGTGGTGCTGTTAACCAGGATCAGGAACCCGGGAGGAGCAGCAGTGGAGGGTGATGGGGGCCCTGAAGGATCTCTTGGAAGAGCAACCCTGTACATGTGGAGAGATTTAAGATAAGAGCCTGGGAGATAGGGAGACGTTGGCTATTGTGATGGCTTGCCCTACTGGGGCTGACTGGTATTTGGCTCTTGAGTTGAGAGGAGACCTTGGCCAAAGTGACCATGAGGTAGTGCCTAACCTCTGGACCTGCCTGTTTGGGTTTGCAGAGGTCTCTGATCTGGCAGAACCCTACCAGCTAGGCTGGCTGCAGGCCTTGCCAGAAAAGGGAATTGGACATTTTACTTAGAACCTAACTTCTAGGAGGCCTACATCCCCTGGCTTGAGAGGCAGTAAGAGATGACTTCTGTGTGGGTTCTCCCTGAGATGAGCCTGGGCTGAATTAGGGTGCATGAGTGGGAATCAGGTTTGCTGGTGGCTGGGGCTGAGAGGCCAGGAGTCATCATTCCTCAACGGGACAGTCAGATGCCACGGCCCGTGGTGGGCAGCCAAGAGCATAGCATGAACACTGTGGGGATGACTCAAGCGCCCATCTGGAGAAATCCTCCTCTGAAATCCATAGCTCCCTAGCTGTAGTTGCTGGCATCCGGCTGGTGAGCTGGTAGCTAGGGGCATGGTCTCAAGATGGCTTCTTGCAACCCACTTTGCTCTCTGACTTCAGCTGTTTCCTGGCTCCGTTTCTGCTGTTCGAGTCCCAAGGGCCTCTGTTGTGGGTTCTCCCTCTTTACCTGTGCCCTGCCTTCACCTGTCCCAGTCCCAGGCCTTCCGTTCTGCTCTGGATGCCTGCCCTCATCACATCCCTCCAGGCTGTCCACATTTGCCTGGAGCAGGCACCTGCCATGGAATGAAGTTCGGGGTGTACCCTGCTGTCCTCTCTGCACCTTCATCTCCCTCCTCTGGGCCCTGTGGGCATGCCAAGCCCCTGAGCTCTTTGTCAGTCAGGTCCCTAGGTCCGTAAGGTGCTCTCAGCCGCCTTAATATCAGCTCAAACCCTCACATTGTTTTTAAACTCTTACCTCCCTATTTCATATATTTTATAGATCTCATGCAAGACCTCACTCCTTTAGGAGGATACGCTTATTTTTCCAGCCTGTCAGGATCTTCTGTGATTTTGCTTGTTCTTTCTCAAATATTTGATAGCCTTGTCAGCACTGTATTAACCTAAAATTTGATAAACATGTTTATGTATGTTTTCATCAAGGTCTTGATAAAAAATATTAGAAGAGGACAAGGCTGAGAACTGCATCCTTCAGGGTATAGCTGTTTGAGAATCACTTCATTATGTTAGTTTGAAACTCTTGTTTTTCTGTCTTGTCCACAAGGATATTACTGAGACCTTACTGAAAAATGTATATGGCCTGTCCCTTGCATTTTCTAGATCATTAAATTTAATGGAAAGGCAATGAACTTGGATTGCTAGACTACTTGGTGAATCTTCTAATGACCTTGTTTCCTTTCCACAAGTCAGCTTATCAGTAATGTGCTTCAGAATCTCACCTGGGATCAGTCACTGCTCTCTACCCTCACAACCCAAACCCTAACCCTCTCCCCTTTAGAGAAGCAGAATGATGTTTCCTACCTCTGACCTTCCCACTCCTTTGCTTTGCTCCATCATTCCTTTGTCACAGCACTTGCCCTTGTGTCAGTGGTCACTTGTCTGTATAATTATTAGTTGCGTGGAGCCAGCAGCACTTTGAGGGCCTGGCTCCTGGGAGATCTCAGCAGATACTTGATGGAAGGATGAATGAGCGAATGAATGGAGACAGGAAACTGATGTTTCACCTACAAGTGGTCCATGCACTTGCAGAGTCATTTTTATACAGCCCTGTGCTCTTAGAGGCTTTGTACCCTCAGCCTTATTGACTCCTGACCTATGTCTCTTTGGCTCAGAGCACTTCTTATCAGCAAGTTTGAATGTTCTGTTTGCATCCTGGATCTTTGCCTGACCTTTTCCCGCATCTCACCACTACGTTGGCCTTGCAGAGGCTCCCAGAGACCTGCAGGGTTGGGGGAGCGGTGTTGCCCTTGTCCATCCGGTGCAATAGGGGGTGGAGTAGCCTATTTCCTCATCTTCCTGGAAGCACCTCAAGGCCTTGTCCTTCCCGAGTGCCATTGTGAGATAGAGCTGGGCAAGCCAGGGTAGGTCTTCCCCTGCCCAAAAGTGTGGCAATTGCCTCACCCTGTGGCACAATTGCAGCCAGCTTGTACCAAGACCTCACAGTTTTTGAAGCAGTCTCTATAGAGTTTCTCAGTTTCTCCTTTCTTTCTTGAAGTGTCAGGATTAGCGTTACCCCTTATTTCAGATGGGCTTGGAAAGATTGGGTCACTTGCCAAGGTCACACTGCAGATAACTGATGGAGCCTGGACCTCCTTCTTCCAGGGCCCATGGGTCTTCTCCATGAGCTGGGAGTAGTTGCAACAGCAACCTGGCCACACTGAGATCCACAAGGGCTGCTCCTGTGCTTACCTGGGGGGTGGACGTTGAGGCGTTCCCATGGATGCAGAGGGGCTTCCAGTTTCCATTCTGCCAGCTCTGGGACTGCCACTCTGCCTGTGGGGCTGAAAAGTGGCTTCAGGCATGCAGATCATGGGATTTATGCACTTCCCTCACTAGGGAGCAAAATAGCCTGGCAAAGAATATAAACAGTTTCTCTGCCCCTTGGTTTTTGATCTGTAAACTAGTGTTCCGGATGGTATCCACCTTCCAAGGTTGTTCTGAGGATTAAATGGTTCCTTGGGAGGCCCTGAGCCCAGGGCCCAGCACAGAGCAGGCATATGGTATGTGCCAGCTGCCTGACAGGATTCTGGCCCCAGGTTCACTGGGAGACCTACTGTCAAACCCTCACCTGTTCTTCTCTCTTGCTGGCTTTCAGTTTCTCTTCTGGGTAGGAGTTAGGGGAGCAGACTGGGACCTCCAAGGAGTGGCTTGGAAACTTCTCAGTCCAAAAGCTGAGGAGCTTCTAGAAGGTATAAGAAGTTTTCTAAATATGTGAGGGCTGTGGGTCCTTGGAAGGGTCTCCTTTCTCTGTGAGCCGTTTCTCAATCTACAGAACATGAGTGCTCTGGTGGATATTCTAAGATGCCTGTTCTCACATATTTGGGGCCCTGCTTTCCTCCACTCTCACTTCCAACTCAAGGTTGAGGAATCTGGAAGCAGCCCTTTCTCTTGGCAGAAGGGTCAATGTTAACCTAGGATTTGTCAACTTGAAACCTCTGGAGACTCTGGATGGGTATGGGCTGGAGCTGCACTGCAACCCTCCCTGTGTCCACTTTTCTGTCAGCTTGGAGATGACGTCGGAGCATCAGACTAGGAAAGAGTCCAGGTCTCCCACTTCTGCTAGTTTTATGACTGTTGGCAAATCATTTCACCTCTGAGGCTTACTTTCCTCATTTATAAAATAGGAATAAAAAAGCCTGCTCCCCAGAGCTGGTATACAGATCAGATGAGGTGATGGATGGAAAAGGGCTTGGCATATACAGTAAGTCTCCGTAAATACATGTTGGATCAAAAGAAGGATCAGGCCTGAGGAGGCCTTAGGGTAGATTATTTGGGTTTAGGCCTTCTAGCAGGCTTTCCCTGGGAGAGTGGAAGAGCTGTGGACAAATATTCAAGTATTTGACTTTACTTCCAGCCAGGCCACCCAGCCAAGGGAAGGCCAGGGTCTAAACCTACCAGGCCCTAGCACCACCCAGAGATGTGGTGACCATCCCCTCCCCAGCCATTCTGATGGACCCTCTGTGATCCCACAGAGGCGTGGGAGACCAAATGGCCTAATTTCTGTTCTTTCCCTCTGCAGGTATAGCCTTCACAGACCTCCCGGTAAGTACTGTTACTGGTCCCCTCCCTCTGGGCTCTTGGGGGCTGACTGGGATGGAGCATGGGGGAACCTGCAAGTGCAGGGTGTGGAGTCTGGCCCTTTCCCCAAACAGGGATGTAAGCTGTGCTGTCAGCTTGAGAGTACCAGTAGGGGACCCTCCTGGTCTTCCTCTCTCTCCAGCAGCAAGGGGCCTGGTCTTCCTCCATGACTCTTAGCAGGTGACAGTGATTTGTGGCCTTTCCAAAGGCAGCTGGGTGGGTGGTAGCGGGGGGACAGGAGGGTAGCTCCATGGCTTGGCTGCTCTGGGCCAGTTCTGTGTGGCTTACAGCTGGTGGACTGGTGTGTATAGGGAATCGTTCGGAACTGTTTAGGAGCCCTGTCCCGGTGACTACTCATCAGAGATCCCTAAGGAAGGCCACTATCCTAGGGGACTAAGCCTGGTACCACACAGGGTATGCCCAAGCCAAAGAGGTGCGCTTTGTGGGGTTTTCTCTTCTTAGAAAAGGGTGAGGTTTCCTGTTGGCTTAGTTCACGGCTCATCCCCATCTTCTGTACCCCAATCCTTTGTTATTATGAGTCATCACAGATCTCGTCACATGCGCAATGCCTCCACCCAGACTGTTGGGAGCCTGGCCTGGCTCTGTGTGCCCTGGCTGGGTTCTGGAAGGAGGAAAGGTTTGCTCACTCTGATGGTTGCCTTGGGATCCTGAGCGCCCCTGTGATGCCCTAGGAAATGCTCTTGCGATCTGAGTGGCCTTCTGAAGCCCAGACTACAGGACCCAGGATCCTGTTAGAAACTCTTATCTTTAGATCAGAATCCTTCTGTCCTACCTGGAAGCCTCAGAAGAGGGGCTGTGGTCCTAGGCAAAGAAAAAGACAGGAGAATTCTGACCCTGGCTAGAGAATGGTCTGGTTGTGGAGACGTGACATGAGATAAGCAGACATGAATGTAGGCAGTCGCCAAGTGCTAGGAAGTGTATGGCTGCTCCAAGGTAGGGAGTGTCACTGAGACCAGTGACAGGGAAAGCCTGCTGGAGGGGGTGGGTTTTGCCTATGGCACGGAGGTTGGGAGGGTAAAGGAAGGAAGCAAGATGTCTTAGGATTCAGAGCTTGTGGCAGGCTGAACCCAACGTGCAATAAAGGCACGTGATATTCAGGAGTGACACATGGCCTGAGGAGGGAAGGTGGAAGAGAGGACTGGGGGCCCAGTGACAATGGGGAGGAGGCCAGCAAGACACTGTTCGGTAGCAGTGGGGAGCCACAGGAAGCAAGGAGTGAGGGAGTGATCGGGCAAAAGTTGGCCATGACAGGGAATAGATGGAAAGTGGGGAGCTTCACCACCCATGGAGGGACATGCCCAAACCTCACTAGCCAGAAGATCCTCCTCTTAGTGTGCCTTTGACAGGAAGGGCAGTGGCGTCTCTTTATCCTTTGCCAGCATCTGGGGGTCCAAATCCACCTGCCCCCTTTTGCCCTGCTCTCCTCCTCCCCGCCTTCCTTTCCTGTCACCCCCATCCCTTCCTGCCTTGTCGTATACCCCTTTTTTGGTGGCAAAGGGATCCTTGGTCCTAGATCATTCTGAAAGGAGCCATTATCCACCCGTGTAGCAGAACTTCATGGGCATCCCTGTAGGATTCTGGAGCCTGGTCTACCTCTCTGTGCCCTGGCTGAGCCCCAAAAGGGGACCTTGGGGTTTTGGAGACACCATAGCCTCTGATGCAGGGCAAGAGACCCCACTTTGAGCCTGGCTTGCTTTTCTTTTGCTTTCTGTCCTTAAGCTTTGAGGAATGGTGTCTGTTAGGGAGGTGGGCAGAACGTGGCTTAGCCCTGCCTCCTTCAGCCTTGCAATTCTTTCAAAAGCCGGAGTAGTGGCCTGCAGGAGCCAGCGCCTTCCCTCCCTGCACCAGAGGTAAGGCGAGGAGGCCCTGCTGCCCCATTGCCCTCAGGGCCCAACTGACATTTCATTCTCCTCCTCAGGCCAACCTCTACCCCACCGTAGGCCTGCAGACACCCGGGGAGATTGTGGACGCCAACTTTGGGCAGCAGCCCTTCCTGTTTGACATTGAGGACTACATGCGGGAGTGGCGTGCCAAGGTCCAAGGCACTGTGCACTGCTTCCCCATCAGTGCTCGGCTTGGCGAATGGCAGGCGGTGCTGCAGAAGTGAGTGCCCCACTCTCGCCCTTCCCCCGCCCTGGCCCATCCCAGGGGCCTCACTCTCCTGTAGGCCCCTGTACTCCTTCAGGCTGCCCTTATGAACTCCAGTGGGTAGCTCTTACTTCTGGAAAGCCCTCCCAGGGTGACTCGGCCTGCTGCTCTCCTGCTTCCCTCTTAACAGATGGACAGCTTCTGCTCAGTTCTCCAGATCTGTTCCTAATTAAGCCTTTGCCCCCTCACCTGGATTGGAAGGCTCTGCATGTAATATCACCAGCAGAGCTGTTTTCCTTCCCCAGGTCATTTTGCAGAGGATGTACTAGGATGCCCTGTGGTCTCTTCATCTGTGGACTTTTTTTTTTGCCCCATAGGGAATATCCATCATGCTGTGACTCTGGCCTGGGGTCATCTCTCAGGGTCATCATCCATCTAAGTCCCATGCATTCATGGCAGTGGTGGCTGGAAGAGAATCCTCCTGAGGCCAGCCTATCTGGCTCTTGGATGATTAGTTTTCAAACTGTCCTGGAAGCCAGTCTTGCTGAGAATCTGAAGGGAGGCAAGGTTTGGGTCTCTCTTCTACTTGCCAACTGCTGGCCTGAGTGAGGCAATACCAGTACCCACTCTGCCAAGGCGTGGGTTAGCTTGTTAGCTTGACTCCCACGGGTGGGCAGAGAAGGGCTGGGCTTCCACTAGCCTTGATTATTGCCCTGCAAAGGCACCCAGGTAGCAGGGTCCCCCGGGGTGGGGGGTTGGGTTGCACACTGGGTTCTTCGTGCAGTCTTCCTTTCTTAAAGGACTGATACGGAGACAGGCCATAAGGGAGGGCTGAGGCGGGGGTTAGGTGGTCAGACCCTTCTCAGGAAGAGCAGCACTCTTTTGTTTTTAGCTCTCAGAGCTACTGAGAAGCTCTTCCTTGGAGGGCTAGCCAGTATAATGCCAGTCCCTGAAGCAGGCTTGCTGGGACAGGCAAGGGGAGAGGTGGAGCTGCCGCAGCCGTGTTGGGGAGGGAACGATAACTCTCAGCTTACAGCGTGTTTATATGTGCGTATATGTGTGCCGGTGTGTGTTCATATGTAGTATTTGCCAAGACCTACCCACCTTGGTGGGAGGTTCAGGTTATTTCTTCTCTTTTGCTTATATAGACAACCCTTTTGTAAGTAAAGAGCTCTTCATATTTAAGATTATTTTCTTGGTGTCCTTTCAAGAAGTGGAATTACTGAGTCAATGGGCCATCTATACTAGTGGCATCTGATGTGCATGGACTCATCTGAACCATGTTTTGTCAAAAATGTTTGCCCTTGTGTTTATAATAATATAGTTATAATTATCCAGAGTATAATATAAATACATAGTTTCATCATCAGAGGTTTATTTACTGTGCTAGGCACTTTCTATGTATCATCTCACTTACCCCTTAAAACACGAAGGGACACACAGCTGAACTTCTGTGCCTTTCACACTGGTGTTTGGCAATTACAGTAATGACGTCGGACACATGTTTACACCAAGGTACTCACTTCTGTGCACATCACATGTGAGGGCTCACCCTTCTGCCCTCCATGTGTCTGCATGCACACATACACACACGTGCCACTGCTCAGCCAGCTGCCGGTGTGATTAAATGGTGCCTGGGTGTCGTGCTTCTCCAGGCCGTTCCCCAGAGATTGTGTTCCTGTTGGCCACGTGGTTGCCTATATCTTGGCTTCTTGGGCCCCTGACTCGTGGCGTATCACGGAGTGACTTGGGTCACGGGTTAGCTCCCCATCACCCTCTAGAGCCAGCACTCCTGAGGGCCAGTTTCACTTGCTGAACTGGAAAGCTTATGCCGGGCATGTGGGGCCGTTTACAGAGGAGCTGCTCTGTCTCTAGAAGGCACGCACATGGCACACACCGCCTCTGTCTGGGCAGCTCCTAGACGGCTTGGCTGGCTGCCATTCCAGGAAGCCTTCCGAGAGACTGTCGGCCATCTCGGCTTGCCGCAGTTCACAGGGGGCAGCCGCTGCTGTAAGGGACGCTATGTGCCTGTGCGCGTATTTTTGTTATCATACTTGCCCGCTTGTGGATGGCATATTCCAGAGAAACTGCAGCCCGTCCTCCAAGCTGTGAGGTACAGCTGTGGTGATTAGCCCCTCCCCAGCCTGACTGCATGAGCACTGGGGGGAGTTTTCATTTTGTTGCAGCCTCTTTATTCTCATTGTGTGGAGGTTCCACCTCCAAGATGTGTTTAAGGAAGCCCAGACAGGGAGATAGTTTGTCCCATCAGGTGATGAGTGAGAAATGCAGTTCTAGAGTGTCACCTTGAGCATTTCCTTTCTTCTAGCATGGTCTCATCTTACCTGGTGCATCATGGTTATTGTGCCACAGCCACGGCTTTTGCCCGAATGACTGAAACCCCGATTCAGGAAGAGCAAGCATCCATAAAGAACAGACAAAGTAAGGTTGATTCTCCTCTCCCCTCTCCCTCCTTCCCTCACCTGTCCCTAACTCTGCTCTCTGGCCCATGGCAGTCTTGGGTCACCTGTCAGGAGTCCATTCAACCCTGGTCCTTACCACCAGGAGACCAGCCCACAGCCCCAGCCCCGCCCCAGGCTCTGCTTCTGTCCCTCCTTCAAGCCAACACTGCCCAGATGGACAGCCCGGCAGCATGGGAATGAGTGCCTCAGTGCAGCCTCCCTACGGCACACTCTGACGGCCCGGCACAGGCGGGGGCCTGGCATGGCTGGGTCCCCCTCCTCCGTGCTTGTTTCCTTCCCCTGAATCCTGGATTCTACTCAGCCTTCTGCTCAGAGTCTTCTGGAAGAGTGTGTTTGCATCTTAGCAGACCAATGTCCTGCCTTTCCCATTTACTCACTCAGCTTTAGTAGTTCTGCCCGTTCCTGGCCGGAGAAAGGACTGAAGTAGTCAGACAGGGTGAAGGCTGGTTCTCAGTGGCTGCTGTGGTAGCCCCTCTCTCTGTGCCCACCTCTGGTCCTGCGTTTTGCAGACAACCAAAGGAAGGAACCAGAGGAAACTTTGCTAGTGTACACACTGGCCTGTATACTGTGTGTTTGGGGCTCTTTTCTGGAAGGAGGGTGTTGGGAAAGAGGAAACAGAGCCCAGGAAGGAGATAGGAAGAGGAGAGGAGAGTGAAGGAGAATGGGTGTGTGTGGATGTGTGTGTCTGTGTGTGCTTGTTGGCGTCTCTCTGAGCCTGTCGTCTCTGTGTATGTGCATGTGTCTGTGTCTCCCAGAGAAGCTACGCCCAGCCAGACAGATGGAAAGGGATCCCAGACTTGGGATCTACGAATGAGAGCCTCAGACCCAGAAGTCGCTCCCAGCAAGATGCACCAGGTCCCAGAGCAAGAGCAAGATGCAGATGGCCTGAGAGGTGTCACGTCAGAGATGACCGTGTGAGGAGGATGACCTCCTCTCCCAGCGGGGAGCACGCCACAGCCCCTGAAGACTGCCAAGACTTGGGCCCTGGCCCAGAAACCACTGTGTGCCCATTGCCACCCCACTGTGAGGCCTGAAAGGAGAGACGTCTGCCTGAAGAGGAGCCCCTAGGGCCACCAAGCTGCCTGGGGACCCAGCCCCAGATCATGCTCCCACAGCCAAGACCCCTCCCCATGCCCAGGTCCCCGGCAACTGACCTCTATAGGAGCAGGCCTCTACATTTGCTCTCCTGCCTCTGCATCGAGCCCCGCCTCTGTTTTCCCCTGTTGTTCTTTGAGGACTCCCTGACACTTGGCAGAAACCAGGGTCTCTTGTGGGTCTGGGAGGCCAGGTTCTTTCTTCACCCTCTTCTGTGAGCATCTCAACCAGACATGCCACTCTGAGCCAGCCCACCTGACCGTCGGCTAGTCCATGCTCGGAGCTGGTAGTGTGCAGGCATGTGGCGGTGAAGAAGGTCCACAGCCCCTCACTCACTGCCATACTCTTGCTCTCTGCAGAGATCCAGAAGCTGGTGCTGGAGGGCCGTGTGGGTGAGGCCATTGAGACCACACAGCGCTTCTATCCAGGACTGCTGGAGCATAACCCTAACCTGCTCTTCATGCTCAAGTGAGTTTTGGGCACCACCAGCTACCCCCTAGCCCAGCCCCTCTCAGCTGGTGGTGGGAACATACAGCCCAGACCAAGCCCAGAGCATTGCCGCTCTGCTCCCTCTGCAGGTGCCGACAATTTGTGGAGATGGTGAATGGGACCGACAGTGAGGTCCGCAGCTTGAGCTCCCGAAGCCCCAAGTCCCAGGACAGCTACCCTGGCTCCCCCAGCCTCAGCCCCCGACACGGCCCTAGTTCCCACATGCACAACACAGGTCAGCCACTCTCCAGAGGGCTTGGGGGAGAACTGGTGTGGAGAAGAAAGGCCACCCACATGCTTTTCCCTGGGCTGGGCTCGGGGCTCGCTGCTGGATTTGGGGGAAGGGAAATGGGACCACTGTGGCCATTCCTGGGGCCCCATTGTGGCACACTGCCCCTCCTCTTCTGACTATTCCCTGGTTTCCAGGAGCAGATAGTCCCAGCTGCAGCAATGGCGTCGCATCCACGAAGAGCAAACAGAACCACAGTAAATACCCTGCACCCAGCTCCTCCTCCTCCTCCTCGTCCTCCTCGTCCTCCTCATCCCCATCCTCCGTCAATTACTCCGAGTCCAACTCAACAGATTCCACCAAGTCCCAGCCCCACAGCAGCACCAGTAACCAGGAGACCAGGTGCCTGTCCTGCTCTGCTTCTTCCTCCTCCTTTCCGCTCTGCGCCAGGTGGGCTCACTGCAGCCTGTCCTTTAAGTGCCACCCCCTGCCCTTAGCCCCACCTGCACCCCAGGTCTATGCCTGGAGTAGTTGCTGCTGACCTGCCAGGCCAGGCATTGGCTCCAGCTTCAGGCCCTGCCGGTGATCCAGCTGCCACTTTGCTCAGCCCTGACTTTCTCAAGAAGCACTGATAACCGCCAGGCCTGGCAGAACCCCTAGGGTCTACACCGAAGAAACTTCCCGGGTGTGGCTTGAGGTCAGACAGATTGGGCAGCAGAGGTTTTAGGCTGTAGACTGCAGGTGGCTTTCAGTTGCCCCCAGGCATACCTCAGGGTTTGACCTGAGTTTGGTGCCTAGAGATACTTCTCAGGGGTTCCTGGTCACTGGGGGTGGGGGATGAATGGGTGGAAGAGGTATGCCAACCCAGGTAAAGGCCAGGGAGGGGAGAGCCACAGAGGCAGCACTGGGACAAGAGTGAGAATCAGGTGACAGGCCTCTGGGGAGTAGCTGATGTCAGAGTAGGGGCCAAGTGTTGGAGCCTGGGAGGCCTTTCATGCTCCTAGGATCTCTTGATTTACCCACAGCAACCTGTGGCTAAAGCCTGAATGGAGGCCCAACCAGGCTGCTCCCAAACACATCCCCTTGGCCAACTCCCACCTCAACCCTTCTCTACAGTGACAGTGAGATGGAGATGGAAGCAGAGCATTACCCCAATGGTGTGCTGGAGAGTGTATCCACACGCATCGTCAATGGCGCCTACAAGCACGAGGATCTACAGACAGATGAGTCCAGCATGGGTAAGGGCCATGGCCCAGCATGGTGTTACATGGGTAGTAATGGCTCAGTCCAGATGCCTTCTGCCCCATGGGAGGGGGTTGGCATGGGCAGGCTTGGTCAGCCTGAGAAGCTCTAAATGGACCTGGTCCACTGCTGCCTTAGTCAGGAATGGGTGCTTGAAGTGGGAAGACCCCTGGCCTGCTGCCGAGACCAGGGCCCTTGCGTCTGAGGCTACAGAGAGTTGGTGAGAGTGGGCATTCTTAAAAGCACTGTACAGGGTGGGAAGAGGGAAAGTTGAGTCCAGACTCCTCGATCATGTGCTAGGTGGACTAAAAGCACCTCAGCTATGGATGGTCCACCTAATTTGTCTCTGGCAGTGTCCCTAAAGTTCTTCTTGCCATCTCCTTTTTGGGGTGTTCACCCCAGTCCTCCCCTTCTCTCCTTACCCCTCATGATTTGTTCTCTGCTGGGCTCTGGGCGCAGATGATGGGCATCCTCGGCGGCAGCTCTGTGGGGGCAACCAGGCTGCCACAGAAAGGATTATCCTGTTTGGTCGAGAGTTGCAGGCACTGAGTGAGCAGCTGGGCCGAGAGTACGGCAAGAATTTGGCCCACACGGAGATGCTGCAGGTATAGAACAAGCCAGGCACTCATACGGAGCAGGATCCCATTTGGTGTGGGGGTGGGGGCACATTGACTCTGGGAGGGGCTTGGGGGCAGCAGCAACAGGACAGAGTGGACTCTAGTCAAGTCCACAATGGGAAACAGGACTTCCAGGATATATGCAACCCTCTCTAAGCTCTGGGGAGGGCACAGTCCTTCGTGACCCTATGCTCAGGGTTTGCAGTGCCCTCACTGGGCACCATGCAGGGCCCTGTATGCCCCCCGGAGCTGGAGGTATATGTGTGTGTGGTATGTACCACAGTCTTCTCAAGAACGCCCTGTCCCTTAGGATGCCTTTAGCCTGCTGGCATACTCAGACCCCTGGAGCTGCCCAGTTGGCCAGCAGCTTGACCCCATCCAGAGGGAGCCTGTGTGTGCTGCCCTCAACAGCGCCATTTTAGGTAAGTGGATCTAACAAAAACAGAAGCTGGTCCATGAGTGCCTGGGGTGGTCCCTCCCCTCTCTCCCTAGGAATTGCTGATGTTTGTCCAAAGCAGGGCAATGAGCTTTGCCCGGGCACTCTACTCTGGTAGCCCACAGGACTTGGGCTTCCATGGCTGAAACTAAATCCTGACCTCCCTCTGCCCAACTGAGTTGGCTGGCTAGATCATGATAGACCCTGGCCTGTGACTGTGGGCCTGGTCAGCCCATGGCTCTGAAGAGACCTAAGGTCCTCAGATTCCTGGCATGGCTACGGGGCCATAGGCTGGTGGCTGGGACATACACAGAGATACATGAACACTGTGTTCCAAGAGATTCTGTCCACTGCCCCCACTTTGTGCTCCTAAGGGAACTTTGACCTGAGCCCAGCTCCTGGGCAAAGCAATGACTGGGCCTTGTCTCTCCTCCACAGAGTCTCAGAACCTGCCAAAGCAGCCCCCTCTGATGCTCGCCCTGGGTCAGGCATCTGAATGTCTACGGCTCATGGCCCGAGCGGGCCTGGGATCTTGCTCCTTTGCCAGAGTCGACGACTACTTGCACTAGCTGACCACGCTGGCTGGCCCCGCCTGGCCCTCCCTCAGCCCCAGGGCTGGAGCAGCCCTGCCCTCCATAGGCATCTGGCGCAGGGACCTGGAAGCCATGGGCAGAGTCCATCCCTCCTGCCTGGCCTCCCCCACTCCCTTTCCTGTCTTCCTTTTCTTCCCTCCATCCCTCCCTTCCTTTCTTCCTTCTTCTTTTCCTTCTTCCTCCTACCCTGTCCTCAGACTCTCTCTCTCCCCTTCACGTGCAGCGAGCGGCCTCTGACACAGTATTGGCTGGTTACTCTCATGTAGCGCCTTCTACTTTGAAAGGGGGGTTTTGTTTTGAGGAGGGGTTGGGTTTTTTAATCTTTTTTTTTTTTTTTTTCCTCCTGACTGAGCCACCAGTATTTATCTCTGGAGAGCTTGTGCTGAGCTGGTTTCTGCTAATTTAGTGATGAAGCCTATCCAAGTTGGTGATAGCTTATTATTTTCATAAGTAAAAAAAATGAGATTATATATATATATATATATAAATATATATATTAAAAAAAGACACAGTATTTATCGTAGTGTTAGTGGTCCAGCACCTCTTGGGTGAGGCTGTCCAGACACCATATGTTTCTATTTGAGTCCAACTCATTAAAAAAGAATCATCTCCGTCACCTCAGCCAAGTGATAAGTTTATTTCAGGCTTCCCCTTTGTTGAACCACAGGCCCAGCTGCAGCCTAGGGAAGCCCAGTAGGCATTGGGGCCCACTTAGTGGGCGGGTCAGGCTAAGTTGGTTTGTAGCATCTGAGAGGTGTGGGTCCCTAGGCCCCTGAGAGCTGGGCTGAGCAGAGAACTACGGGGCTGAGGCTTCAGAGAAGGGATGAGTTGGCCCAGGGCTATACAGCAAAGCAGGGGAGTAGGGAGTCCTTGGCCAGCACGCTATCTACCATTCTGCCCTGCCTCTCACTGCCTGCCTTGCCCCTTCCTTTCTCCCCCTTTCAACATCCTCTTTTCCCTTGTCGTTAAGATGGCCAAATAATTCATTTACTCTAAATTGATTGCCTGGAAACTACCTGCCTTTGACCCAAGAGCTGCTGTGTGTCAGGCTGCGGGGAGGATGTCTCTCCATTCCAGGACAGAAGCCCTTGAGTACAGGGGCTGCCTTCTTTCTGCCTGGATCTTCAGCGTCTCTGCACAGCTCTGATGGAATCAATGCTTTCTGTTGAGAAGCTAGGACTTTGTGAAGGCAGATTCTTGGGCCGCCAGTTCCTGGAGTGGATGGCACTCTTGACCTACTAGGCCAGGCTTCACTGCAGCTGTGCCAGGCAGCTCCGTGCAGCTTGGCCCCAGCCACTCTTAGAAAAGACTATTATGAGTATTTGCTGGCCAGAGGAAGGGACCTCATGGGCTTTGCAAATGTCCCACCAGCTGTTTCAGATGGATCCTCACAGCTGGTGAGGCAAACACAGTCCCGGTACTGCCATCAGGGAATCAAGAGAGGAAGGGCTGAGTTGACTGCTAGGACTTGGGCAGGCCATCCGTGGAGAGGACTGACTGCCCAGGAGGAAGAAGGGAGGAGGCCTACCCAGAGGAGCACCAGGAGGGGCTGGGATTTCCCTACCTGCTTCACAGTGAGTGGGAGCACACAGGCAGCCCTTGCAAAGGGGCAAGGCCAGAAGTTGAACTTCCAGTCCCTGCCTAGGCAAGGGCTGAGTAAGCTCCTGCTCTCTGGCAGTGGACACACAGGGATGGTGGTACGGCCTGAGATGTTCATTGCCTGCCAGGCCCACAGCTGGACAGAAGTGATTGAGTTGGACCAACTGCTGGTGATGGGGTCAGAGCCTTGGTCCTGTGCTCTCCCAGAGTTCTCCCTTGGGACATGATCCTACAGGCTGCTGCTTTTGCTTGGTCCCCACCAGGGCCCCAGCTGGCACCCCACAGACCGTGGCCTGTTGGGGAGGTATTGTCATGTCTATAAAGGAAACTCATCCTGTGCAAGGCTGGGGATGTCTAGCTCCCAAACCCAGAGGTTGCATACATCAAGCTGTTAAAAATGGCCAGAGCTGAGCAGGATTGGGAATTAAAACCAGAGGCTTTTGCAGCTGGAATGGGGTTCAGAGAACATCTACTCCACCAATCCTCTCCTTTTACAGATAAGGAAACAGGCCTGGGAGATTAAATGACTTAGCCAAAGTCACACAGCAAATTAGTGGCAGAGCTGGGACTAACCTCATCCCTGTGAGTTGTGCAACAGTTTAGTCCTGAAGCTAAATAGCAAGTGAGGGCTTAGGCTGGTGAGGCCCCCAGCAGTGTCTGAGCAGCTGGTACCTTCAGGGGTGTGTCAGGGATGGGGATGGGTGCCTGGGCTTGAGTTGTGGAGTGTCTGAGAGAGGGCCCGAGAGGGCCTGGGACAGCTGTGTGCTGCTTGGGGTTGGGTGTCCTCCTGGCTCGCGCTCAGTACCCGTGGCCACCTCCCCATTTTCTGTGCCTTATCTCACTGTTTCAGCTGAGTCCAAGTTGTTTACTCTGTTCCTCTCCAGAGGGGCTCTCTGTCCCAATTGGACAGCTTGCCTTTGGGACATAAGCCTTTGCCCCACAAGCCGTGGAGAGGACCAAAACCAAGCTGCTTGAGTCCACTATCTTGCTGATAGTCCAGGGCTGCCTGCCAGCCAGAGGAGCCCCTTATGCACACCCAGTCCTACCAGCCTGCTTTCGGGAGCCAACAGTGGGGAAGGCACCTGGGAGGAGCCCCAGTGAAGGGCTGGACCTGACCTGAGGGGACAGGAAGAAGACCTGGCTCTGTTGGGTTGTCCAGCCCTGGGGGAGCAGCCTTCCCTATTGACCTTTCCCCATTGTGCCACCAAACGGTCACTCCTTCCAGAGTGGACGCTGGCAGACCATGCAAAGAAAGCCAGAACCTCTGATCCTCACCCACATGAATCTGTGGCTGGGGGTAGGCCGCCAGAACAGGGACACCAAGAGATTGAGAAGGGGATACTGCCCAGCCACCCAGCGCCTTCCTACCCCTTAAGCAAGCACAAAGAAGATGAGGCAGAGAACTGTGAGAGCTGAAAGTTCCTTTGGTTGCTCACAACTCAGGTATGCACGCTGTGTGGCAGCCAGGCAGCAGAGCCCTACTTGACCGCCGGTCCCGTGCACCGGACCTGTGGCCGGTTCATGGACTCTGGGTGCCTCAGGTGCCGCCTCTTTGCATAGGGTTTTCCTCCATTAGTAACTACAGCTGAAACAGATGTCCTCCACATTGTGCACACTGGTTCTGCCTTTGTCCTCGCAAGTTGATACTTGGCATTAGCATGAAACTTGTGGGCATGGGAGGGTTTAGAAAGAATTCTAACACAAAACATCCTATTAAATTGTACTTGAGAGATGAAAAAACTCCTGTTGTATTTTGACAGAATTATTTTTATTAAAATACACATCCATGAGTAGTCACGAGTGTCTAGTCTCTGTTTTGAGTCTTAACTGGGGTTGGCATCCCTTGTGTGGCTCACTTTGTCCTGAGGGTTTGGCCCTTAGCTCACCTCTCAAGTTCCCAGGCCCCTGCTACCCCTCGGGGACCCTCAAGACTTCAGGTGAGACCCCAAAGAGGATAGGCACTTGGGCTTCAATTCTCTCCCCAGAAACAGCTTTCATCTGAGACAAAGACGAAGAAAATTCACCTTCAAAAAGATGGCCACAGGTCCTCTTGTCCTCAAAATAAGATTTTAATGTAGTCCAAATACACTCGTCCCAAACACTGGACAGTCAGAGGGCTTCTGAGGCTTATTGAGGTTAGCTTCCTGTCACTCTGAGGAGAAAGTACTCGTGCTCAAAATCCTGGTTCTGCTGTTTACTAACTTGGGTAACTGGAAAATTAACCTTTCTCAGCTTCAGTATCCCCACCCTTAAAACGTGATTAATTTCTACTCCATGGAGGCAGAGGATTATAGCATGTGTAGGGGAGGCTTGACATGGATATAGTACCTGTGTGCTTCACTTGATTATTTTATAGGACTATTGCTCGACAGAACTCTCCTAGGGAAAACTGGAGGGAAGAATGGAATGTTAGATAAGGACAAAAGTCCTGGTTCCATAAATAAAGCCAGAGTAGATTTAATTTCTCTCTAGGCTAGTGGTTTCTACAGGGAGTGATTTTGCCCCCCAGGGAACATGTGGCAGTGACTGGAGATATTTTTGGTAGTCACAACTTGGGTTGGAGTGCTGCTGGCATCTATTGGGTAGAGGCCAGGGATGTTATAAACATCCTACAACGCACAGACCGCACCCCACAACAAAGAATTATCAGGTTCAAAATGTCAACAGTGCCACTGTTGAAAAACCCTGTTCTAGAGTGAATCTTGAGACGGTAAGAAACATCAAACACAAGCACACTTTGATTCTACATCGCTGTTCAGAATCCAGGGGGAAAGATTAAGGGGGATAAAACCCCATCAGAAGAGGGAGATTAGAAGTTACCATTTCTCAACACTCTTGGAGCCTTCCATGCTCAGAAGGTGGCAGCAGTGGCAGGAAGTCCTGTCTCCTTCCAAAGCAGGGATAGCCCTGCTGGTCACCAGTTCTCAGCAAGAACAGCTGCCTCAGCTCAACTGACATGTTCTGCATCAGAGGTTGCTCTGGAACGATGGCTGGGACACCTTTCTAATACCAGCTGAGTGGGGCTCCAGGCTCTCACAGGAGTCAGAAAAGCAGGGGAGGGGCTCTCCATGCAGAAATAACCCTTAATCCTACATTTCCAACATAGCCTGCTTTACACTAAAGCTTATAGGTTACAGGTTTCATTACCCTGGAGGACAGAGTAATGGTGAACCAGAGTAGTCTTGTTACAAAATGGTATTTACTTGTGGAGACACAGACTCCAGTAACGAGATCTGGGAGACTGAGGTCACGGTAGGAGCACTAACATCTAAGGAACAACGAAAGAACATGCAGAGGAAGAGAAGCCCAGACAGGCACCAGAGAACAGAAAAAGAGTCATTATTGTAGGAGTTAGGCCAAGAAGTCCAGCGAGTTCAAGAGAACTACCGTTCTGCAACAACAGGTCGTTGTGTCCAACACCAGACCTTCCTTAATTCCAGACCAAGGCCCACCACAGTTCCCAGAACCTCCTCCCTACGGATGCCGGGCGGGAAGACCCGAAAGAAGCCGAGGCTGTTATACGGCGGCCCAGCCGCCTCCACCGCCGGAAATAAATTACCAAGCCCTCCGCTAACCTACTTAATCTCCGCCCCCAAAGTGCGAGCCTGCGCAATCTCCGATCACGGCCCCTCCCCGCGCAGGTCCACCGCCGTCAGGGAGCATGCGCAGACCTCCAGCCGTCCCGCCCCTCCCTTTCCAGAGCTCCCGGTTCCTTAGAAACCAGGCGGCGCGTTCCCGGTGCCTGCGCTTTAGACTCCGGGGCCCGCGCGTCCCCGCCAGCACCCACCTCTTGGCGGGCGGGTGGCTGCCGAGACCGGTCCAGACCCATGGTCTCCAGGGCAGTGTGGGACGGGCGATGCCAGCATGCCAGGTGAGAGGCGGGCCCGAGGCGGCGGGTGAGGATGAAGGAGGGCAGGGCGAGGCAGCCAGCGGGCGTCTACCGGGCCTCCTCTGCGGCCCGGCGCCCGAGGTCGGAGGCGGGGCTACTCAGAGCTTAGGCTGGAGGGGGCCGTTCTAACTGCCAGCGCCGTCGCCGAGTTTGGGGATCGCCCCGGAGTTAGTCTTCCCAGCCTCAGAAATAGGACCTACAGATTTGGTCGTATAATTGTAGGATTTGGGCTCTTGGAAGGACCTCGGCCATAACCCATCCCTTTACGGGACGAGGAAACCTAGGCTCCCCTGCCCTGCCCCGAGCAGACCGTACCTGTGTGGACTGACGCTTTGTGGACAAGGATGTGAGGTGTGGAAGCCTCAGACAAAGGGCGCTGGGCCATCGTCTTTCAGGGGGAGATGGGACTTTTAGGGGGTAAATCTTTATTTAAGGAAAGAGGGTTCAGGTGGCAGATGGGAGAGGGGACGACACTCCGGAAAGTGCGGGTGGCTCTGCCAGTCACCGAATGCCCACTGGCCACGTCTCAACGGCCCTGGCCTAGCTTTGAAGCTCAGGAAGGAAGCAGAAGGACTAGCGGAGACAAAAGGTGAGGTAAGGTGTTCCCATCAAGACGTTATCACATGAATGGGGAGGAAGGAAATGGGGGCGGGGAGATCAGGACTTGTGAATGGTTGTGTGAAGAGTTTCCCTCCCAAACTGCAGCTGAACCTGAAGAACGGGACAAGAAAAGTTTAAAGCTGCGTTGGCTAGACAGCAAGAAAGGTTATAAACCATCTTATAGAAGAAAGTGGGTGCCCTTTTGAATATCCGGAACCAAGTTGGGCCACTCCCCAGAAGACTTTTGTAAACTCTGGGGCACAAAGGTTTCAGAAGGAAGAGCCGTTGGTGTATGACCCTTCACTTGAAGGGAACACCTATTTAAATTAGAAAAGACACTTAAGACACGTTATTGAGATATGGAGGAGATGGTTGTCTTTAAGTGTTGGGGAAGCTAGATTGATTCTTCATAAGGAAACTCCTTTTCTTCTGAAAAGCTGTGTACACCAGGGAACAAAAGAGTTTCAATTAAGGCCATCCATTTTACAGAAAATGTGAAAAAGTACTGGTTTTGGACTAGGAATTTAGAGACTGGACTAAGGTGAAAATTTTCAGCAGACAGTTCTGTTGGTGGGCTCCCCATTTTATGGATAAAAATTCTGTTGTCAGGCTTTCTCTCACCACCTGGTTGCCCCACTTTTCCTATGGAATGATTGGTCTGGGTCTGATCATTAATTTTTATTTGCTGGAAAAATTCGGATATATGATTGCTGTAGTATTACTAGAATCCACTAGTAGTAGGATTAGCAATGACAGCTCCCTCCCCCACAAAAAAAAGACAAAAGATTTGTAATGTGGTAAAAAGAAGTGTGTGATTTTTAAAAGATGGTCTCTGATTCTAATCAATAAAATCAGTTTCTTACTAGCTTGATAAAACTAATTTTCAATGTATATATGATTTTGCAGCAGGTTTTCTTTCCCCCTCAGAGTGATAAGATACATTTATTTATTTATTTATTTAAGATTTCATTTGTCAGAGAGAGAGCGCGCAGCAGGCAGGGGGAGAAGCAGCCTCCCCGCTGAGCAGGGACCCTGATGTGGGACTCGATTCCCAGGACCCTGAGATCATGACCTGAGCTGAAGGCAGACGCTTAACCGACTGAGCCACCCAGGTGCCCCAATAAGATACATTTAAAGTGTGGTAGTGTTCGGGGCGCCTCGGTGGCTCAGTCGGTTAAGCATCTGCCTTTGGCTCAGGTCATGATCCCGGAGTCTCTGCCCCTTCTGCCCCTCATCCTGCTCCTGCTCTCTCTCTCCGGTAGTCTCTCTCTTTCTCTCAAATAAATAAATAATCTTTTTCAAAAAATGAAAAAGTATGGTGATATTAATAGGTCAGATTAATTTAAGAAACAAAATTTCGCCTTAGGTTCATAAATCAGTGCCATACCATATCTATGATGTTGTGGCTGTGCATTTTATTGATTTTTCTCTATCTATGGAAATATTTTGTATACATACCTCAAGAGATATAATGGAGTATTATCAGAAGGGTTTGTAATCTATGGGGGAAATTGGCACTGGTAATCAAATCCTGTCAGAAAGCTTTATGAAAATCATTGTATTCTTTTTTTTAAATAGATTTTTATTTATTTATTTGAGAGAGAGCATGAGAGGGGGGAGTGTCAGAGGGAGAAGCAGACTCCCTGCTGAGCAGGGAGCCCTCCAGGACCATGACCTGAGCCGAAGGCAGTCGCTTAACCCACTGAGCCACCCAGGCGCCCCAAATCATTGTATTCTTTATAAAAACCCTCATTACTTTAGCGCTGGCCCAGATAGAAGACAGACCAGTAGGCCAAAATCAAGGTAAGCTGGAAGGGAGCAATTTACTGTCTTGGGAGCTGGACACGGTGTGGGAGGCTGCTTTAAATATAAGTGGAAATACTTTCTTAAATGAGCAGTTAAAGAAGATACTGCATAAATGTGATGAGTGTGCCCCGTTGATTAGTGTGCAATTTTTGAGCTCCTATAATCAGACACTTGCTTTTAAAAGAGAAGGATGGACTTACAGACTCTTCAAAGTATTTCTTCGTTGCTATAGCAGTGAAACTTTTGACAAATAATTACTTAATATCCACTCCGTTTTCTAGGGCAGCTGAGGGCAGTTATCAAATCTGACCTGTAGTAAAGTAATCAACAGTATTTAACAGGCCAACATACCAGATAAACCAGTAATGCTAACAGGATCTACTTTCACTGAACTGATTTTCTAGTGCCATCTGACATTTGTAACACAAACGGTGTTCAGAAAACACAAGAATCAATCAAAGACCACTAACTTAGAAGTAGGAGAGGAGCCTTTCTGATGTC